GTCATCTTTAGATGTCTGCCAGGACGTAGCGATTATCATTCGGGATTCATATTACGGAAGCTGACTCTTCGTTTCCTAGGCAACGTAACAAAAGGATGAAGAGGAATTGCCGTCTTTTTTTGTTATTTTCTTTTACCGGTTCCGATGGGTTTGAATTCAACAGTAATGCTTAGGCTTAAAATGCGTCTAACTTTCGTTTCGGAAAATATTTATCCAATGGCTTAGCCTGATGAAGCTTTAAGAAATGTTAAGGAGCTTATCGTTTTTGAAGCTGAAAATATTGGCCTTACTTTATAACAGCAAGCTCCACAAGCACAATAATTAAGACCGATTGTTGCAATGGTATAGCTGAAAGTAAAAGACATTTTTAGTTACGTTAAACAATCCTGCATTAAGCTGTATGCGAAAAGTAAAGGTTTAAGAAAGGAATCTGGGAGGAATTTTTAGTATATTAGTGTACATAAAGTTCTTTAGAAGTTGCTGTGAAAAAAGACATATTTTTCATATATTGTTACATAATTGATGAGACTTTCTCCATCAAAGAGATATATAAAAATTCTCAGAAGATTCAGTGAGGTCCAAACTAATTGTAAATGTATCGGAAAATTTAATACTCAGCTCATATTTCTTGTTACAAATTAAATAACTCAGTTTAGCTATTTGAAACAAAATCTAATTCCGCTAGTACTGGTTCCCTATAATGTAAAGTAAAGCAAAATCGTCTGACCGAGTCGTTCTCCATACCTTTGAAACTAATTGAATATACACGAAATTACAATTACATATTAAAGCAGCATTTTTTTAAATGGGTATTAGAATTCTTACGTTACTCAGAGAATAGCAGTTACATTTTTATTAACGTAAGAATACTAATCTAATACATAATCTTTATAGTGATAAAAAAAGTTTGTTTTTTAAAATACTCGAATAAATTAACTTCAGATAACACTGAGCTATTATCTAGCCAATTGTATCTCTCGTAGAGTAAAAATGAAATGTTTGAGCAAAAAATGAGACTTACAAATTCTATATAAGACACAGGTTGGAGGAAACGGGGCTAATGAAAAAATTCTGTTTCCTGATTTGTGACTATTTAAACGTGTTTCCATCACATTTTGTTAAATCCTCCAAATAACTGGTAAAACGTGTTGAAGTGTAACTAAAACTGGACGACTTTTATAGATACGTGCTATTCCGGGAGGCCGCAATTCCCCTCGAATCACAACTAAGTGACTACTTGACGTCAGGTTACTATGGTAACTGTGTCTTGTTTCCCTCCAAAGTTAAAAGTAGTTATTCCCAAGTAGTTGATCGTTATGTCTCAACTCTCCAATGATTTTCTGGTATTACATATATAAGGATGTTAATGTAACACCCGTCAAAACTGAGTACCTATTGTTTCTCAGTCATTACGTAAAGTTAATTCAAGGCTTCAGATATTTTTAAAGACTGAGCTCGGTTAACAGTTCGAAAGTGAACTAAATTTAAATATGTGTTTAGAAATCATCGGAAATAAAAACTATCCAGTCGTGCAATTAACGCTTTTTTAAAGTACTATAAATTGGTGATAAATTGTCAGCTTCAGTGCATCAACTGTTTGACGTTAGCTATATGAAAAAATGCTTACACTTTAGAGCGTAACAGGTATAATCACTGAAGTTAAAAAGCATTGCATTTCTCGGATTAATAGTCATCACATTATTATTTAAATACTGTAAGAACTACATATATGGTTTAAAAAATAACCGCAGTTTATGTTTAGTTGTTATAAGTTACACAAAGCGAATATGAAAACGAATGTATGCAGTGTAAAACAAAATTCTACAGACAGAGGAAAATTTCTAAATGATCCTTTTCAATTAAATAAAAAAATGTTTTACTCATGTACAATAATTGCATAAATGTAAGCCTAAAGTTTTACGCATGTGATATAAAGCCTGGTATTGCATAGTAATTTCTTGTTGCAGAGTTATTAGACTTAATTTGTCAGCCTAATTACCATGTAATTACAAAAGGTTACTCGAAAGAAATTTCCTAGTAGGAGGATGCTTTCAAAGAAGAGTTTGGATTTAAACTTTTCTCTCTCTTTCTCTTTTGAAAATATATGGAAAACTCAAAAACTATGAAAACATCCATATAACCAATAGTTTTGCCATCGGTGCAAGAAGGGTGGAAACTGCTCATTTTCAACGGCGTTCCAATAATTCGCAAAAAGCAAAATTAAATTCGATGAATGAGAGCAGTGAAATAAATTGTTTACTACGAAATCTAACTTTACTCCATTAATTTATATGGATTCAATACTAAATTATAACTAACTAAAAGAAACTTAGTCGAAGCTAACATAAGTACCTAACGCAGTTGGCCCTTAATCTATCAAAAGGCACGTAATATACGGCTGAACATAACAGCTTCAAGAGGGATTTAGGCCGAAGGCAAACACGCGTTACTCAGGATTTCTAGCTCTCACTCACGAAGTAAGTTGAACCTTCATTAAATACTACTTCTAACTCATTTGCATTCAACGCGATTCTAAAACCTCATTCTGGTAGGAGGTTGTAAATGGAAACAAGAATAGATAAGAAAGCACTTTGAAATCAAAATAATTGTTATAAAATTAAAATATATCTTACAGTATGAGATCTTTAACGGTATCGAAGTCAATTATTTTCCTTGTTCAGAATTACTCATTAATTAAACAAATTATATCTCACTAAAATTAGACGTTATTTAATTTGTTGTCTTTTTACCTACTAAAGGTTTTCCATTTGATGTATTTAAAATCCTGGAAAATTACAGTTCATGTTAAATAATAGCGTAAATATTGTACCACTCTAATATTGTCTGATGTTTCAGGAAAATTGAACCATAGTAAGAGGATAAAATCAATAAATCCAATCCTTTGTATTTCGTTTAGGCTTCAATTACCTACTCAGAATAAGCTTATTCTGCGGAGTTCTGTAATTAAATTTCCTTAGCAAATAAATCAATCTCCCACAGCCTTTAATCTTCGTTGAAAGAGATCATGAGATTATACTTAATTTGAATAACGTAGTTACAATAAATGTTAAAAGAGTGGCCGTAGTATTATATTTTGCTATTTAGGTTTAGAAAATAACTCATGACAAATTATTCTTATTACATATGTTTGAATGAAATGGTAACTTATGTATTTTTAAACAAACTGCTTAGTTTCAATGTTTGCATTTAATTATAGCATCTCTTTTCTTTCGGTAAATTGCCGGAGAATAATGCAGTGATAATAATCTTAAGCTATTGTTCAGAAAGGAAACTGATATCATTAGGAGACGAACATTTGCATTCTAAAGAAAATATACTAAATATCAATTGAATAAGTTTTCCCACAATAACCGGGATATTAGAATCAGAACAAAAAGTTTAAATTAAGTATTAAAATTTTTATCCAAGTAAGCGGCCTATTATCAGTGCCGCTTAAACCAGCAACCTTTCTCCTTACAGACACATGTTGTAGGAACCCTAACTATCTTGGACGTTAAATTCTGGCTCCATAAAGGTCTACCAGGCGACTTATCGCCTTGTTCTAAATCTTTCGGTAAAGTAACACAAACTCGGTAGAAGGTTTAAATAGTTCTTGTTGGGTTTCCAGAAACAAATTACGCAGATCATGTAATAACAGATACGTCACCGCTACCAGCGGGATTAACAGAAATCAAATGTTAAAGCGAAACTGAATCTTTAAGATATGACATGCGCGAAGTAAAGTACGTTCGAAGCCGCTTGTATAATACTTTCTGGCCCAGGCCTTCGATTCATGCTAGCAAACACAGCCATTAAATGTTAAACATAATTCAAGTCAATCTAGCAGCTGGGTGAAAATAATTGCGAGATGATCAGCGGTTGCTGCTTAATCATACGAACTATTTTATCATATATACATTATTAATTTGCATCATGGTGGGAGCCGACAAAATAGAATACTGGCAAAATAATAATATAATTGATTAATAAACATGCAAGTAATGTAACCAACAAAATAGCGATATAAGTGATGTAATCGACCTTCAGTATGATTGTTAAAATGATGCTTTAGAGGCAGCAGTCAAATAATATATCTGCTTTCGCAACCTACGCCCTTCCGCAGAGTATAATCTCAGAGTGTAGATTGACTATAATGTTTTGCTTTATCAATGTAACTATTACTTAAATGTATTATTTTTCGTCAGTAGTGCTTTCTAAAATTATCACTTTATTGCTGTATCTGACTGCTCATAAATATGAACGTAGTTGAATAAGCCTTTCAATTGATAAAAAATGAAATACATCAATTCCAGATTTTCAGCGTTAAAATGGCCGTAACTAAATACACTTTTACGCAGCAAATAATGATAAATATCATCACTAAAATTTGAATCATTTTATAAAAATTTTAGATCTTCTGAATTTGTACAATCGGATATTTTGAGTGAGAATCTTACTTGCTATATTTTTCATAATGACAGCAAAACTGAAAAGAGTCTGGCGATTCTTTCTCTCATTATGCTTTATGAAAAGTGTTTACAGTTTGATCATTGAATCGGTCTTAAGGAGACCTTGAAGAATCACAGAACTATTACTAGTTTGAGTAAATACAGGCACGTAACACATATGATTTCCTTTTTTAAAACAGGTTTTTAAAGAGGAACTGTAAAGGCTATATTAAGACTATGATAAAGCATGCTGTGTGTCACAGTGTCTCATGAACCATGTGGTCATACTTCGATTATTTGTCAGAGTAAATCTTTACAAAATTAGTAAGTGATTCAGTGTTAAAAAATGTTAACAAATTACAATTTCAAATTTCATGTAATGCAGTTTTATAACAGACGGCTTTATTAACCACTATCATTAATGCCAGCCTCTAATAGTCTGCATAACACCTGGGTATTTCTAACGAAATAGCGTTACAGCGAAGGATTGATTTTAGTTAAAAGAATGTTAATGAAAATGATATTAATAATAAAAAAATTAATAATACTTACGTTGTCTACGAGACCATGCCCTTCGTACGAATTTAACAAATCTTTGATAGATGCCGTAAATTGAGACACCTGCACCCATCGGATCGTCCTCAAAAATGCTTGAAAAATTTTCCTCTGTCAAGTCATCCGATAAATTTGAGATCTGATCTTCATGAACTGAATCGTCCTTTTGCATTTATGAGCCAGGTGTTAACTTTCTGCTTCTAAGAAAATCTTATTTTTCTCAGCTATTTTCTTTGACACACTATGTAAAATTTAATAAAGGGAAATTCTACAGGTTACATGCTATGCCCATTTCAGTTCCCTAAAGTGAATAAACAACTCTCTTCATGACTACTGCTTCTTAAGATCATATATTTCAAAGCTTCTTCATGTAATGGAAGAAAATCAATATATAAATATTAAATGGAAATCTTTTGGTTATAGTATACGTATATAAATGCCATATATTCTAATTATTAAGCTCATCTTGTAACAAATACATTTCTGTGCGAAGCATTTCATGAAAAAATTCTAATACACCAATCAAAAATGTTTTAAATCTTTCGAAATGCATTCATCATTTAATATTTTGGTGATAAGTACTGCGTAGGCACTCTGACTTCGATGATACAGGCTCAGTTTGCCGGCTTTTACTCCACATGTTTATAAGCATGACGACTTAATTATTTCTATTATAGTGGCACATAAAATGTCTGTAAAAATGTTCAGATTTGTTGATACTTAATAAGCACCTATAAAACTTGTTCCTTCTTAGAGATAATTATATAACTTTTTCTAGCTCACTTTTTGTCTTATTTTTTGCGAATGAAATCAAGAAAGTTTTTCTCGTGTTCCCAAGAGTCTTGTTTCACCTGAAAATAAAATAAAAATGAATTAATGAAGATAATAATATTACTAAAAACGAATTCAAATCTAAATAAAATGCTTCTTAAACCCGTACATCTTAACTAGAAGTTAAACATATCACCGTTCAATTTTGAATTTTTATTTCATGACTCTTGATATGACAGTTGTTAATGATGACCGCATTAAGCCAAAATAAAGAAAGCCTTTTTAAGGAATCCGTATTGTCCTTTTAGCTGAAAAATGAATTTATTCACAGTTTAAATGAAAAGCGTTCAAATTTACCAAATGATTTTTGTATTCTAATGACAGTAGTAAAGATAAGATGAAAACTCTCACATTGTATTTTAGGTTTCGGATTGTAGTCATCATGAATTATTTTTTATATCATTTTATGGAATCATTGCATGTTTACTAGGTTGATTATGAGAAACAAAAAACCAAACACGGTCAAAACAATTTTAAACTTTGCCTGAATTAAATCTATTTTACATCCTCTTGAAAATATGCATCAATGTATGCATTGTCATCACGTTCCCCGAAAAACCCTTTAATTAAAATTTGTCTAATGTCATCTGCGGATCTAACTAAATGATTTCTGCAAAGTAAAGTGGCCACTCTTGACTTCTGATATTTATCTTGAAACTAAATAAGGTCTCGGGATGCCATATCTGATCACCAAGATTTGAGCGAGTTTTGTTTTGGTCAGAAACATTTAAGTCGCTGTGTCGTAGTGAGTTATCGCGGTCAAGCAATTCTCATTTTTGGAAAGCTTGAATCCTTTGCGACAAATATTCTTTCTCAGAATGTCAAAAGGATGTCTTATTGAATTTGATGTGGCGACGAATTATCATGCACAGTCTCCTTCACATTGAAAAACGCATCATTAACACTGTCAATATCACTTTTATAGCTTTCTTTGGTCTCAGAGGGACTTAGAATATTTCCCTTTGAAGCCTATTTCTTCCTGTCAGATTTTCAGCTATTAAGTCACGCTCCTTGATACGGCATTGACTGCAAAAGAAGGGTATTCAAGCCAATCGCAGAGGCTACAGATACGTTTGAAATAAATGACAAAGAACAAATCACGGGGAGCAGTGCATAAATCAGAATGTGATTTTTTTTTAAGGGGGCAAAGATCAGATTTAATTCAGATGCGTTTTTAAAATTTGATTGGCTTCGTTTTCTTTCTTTGTATCTATTCTGCATTTTAGAGAACTCAGATTTTATTAATCTTTGGCAACGCTGTCATTCAAAATTAAGGTAGAGTTAAGCAGATAACCCTATCATTCTTTGTCGTAATTAAGTACTCTAAATCAATCCATTTCAATTTGATCAAAGATTTGTTTAAAGCTGCTCTTGGACCACACACATCACTTAGAACTGCACAATTCATCACTTAGAACCTCTAATCGATTATTGAACGCAAAAAGCATTTTCTTTGGTTTTTAATTATTAGAAATGGTAAATTAAATATGAACGTTTGGTGACACTGTCTTCGAAAAATTCCTTTCAGGATATATCTCTTTATTCTAAATACTTACACTATATAGCTTTAATTATAACAGGAACAGAATGGCGAGTCTGAAAAGATAAAGGCCCAACAATGAATATGCGGATAAAACAACTGAACGCTTGCAATTTAACACGTGTTCTAATCTCATCTCATGTCTGCGTATGCGTTTTCATGTATTTTTCCATGTTCAACGTGAGTACGAGCCAGCTTCTCGTTTAAAATGCTTCACAAAGGCAACCATTCCTTAGACACATGATCCTCGAGTGCTTTTACCCCAATCAACTGTGTAGAGTCCCTAGGTTTCTCGAAGCAGGAAATACGGAAAACGAGCGGTGCCCTCACCAGATTTGAACACAGAACTTTTCTATTGCTAGCTGTACTTGCTTCCATTTACACCAAGAAGGCACGGCACGTGGTAAGCAAGGAGAAAAGTCTTTGCTATCCCTTGAGGCTGGGAGGCGAGTCACCAAATGGACAGGGAGGCGAGACCTAATTACCAAATCCATATATTGAAAAATTATCGTTCATCACGTTTTAGTTCAGACGCCATTTCTTAGAATTCTTTTGAGGACGGGAAACACTGAAGATTTAGTTACTGCTCTCGCCGAAGTTCGAGCTCTAGACCTTCGGATTGCCGTTCGATAAGCAGATAATTAAATTTTTTCTCACTGTATACGATATTTTTCCCGCCTTCTTCGTATGCCTTCGTGGTGTGGTGTTCTGCTCACTGGGCGCGTATTCCAGAGGTCCGTGGTTCGGTTCCCGGTTAATTCTCGATGCTAATTTTTCATCTCTCCGGTCTCAAAATTACCTAATGTCTCTACAACTGAACTATTAAATTTATCATGTAATCCAATTTCATCTTATATTTAACTTCATTTTTAGTTTTATACTTTATGTCCGACTTTATGAGTAAGCTCGTGTTTAACAACCAAGGGATTCATTCTCATCTAACGAAAGCTGACCAAATACCTAACTCTTTCTCTTATTTTTTCAAAAGATTGCTCTAGTTTTATTGGTTGCAATTCCTCTCGAAAAATAGACTATTTTAAGATTTAATAATTTTTATTTTTCTGTTAGCTGATTATTATTTTCTATTCTATGGATTTTATGCTTATTTCCGATACTCTGTTATAGTACTACAATTTTTGTGTGCGATCCCGAAGCACAGGATAGCTAGAATTTTCTTTTGATTTCACTCTGAAAGGTTCTAGCAACTTCACTGAAAAACTTTTTATGAAGTTATTTGGATACCACAGTCGCCAGAGGATAAAAGGACATAAAAATATTACTTTTTAAAATTTTTATTACTCTTTTAACACTTTTCTTAGAAAACCTTAATCCAAATACACTTTAGAAATTGAAAAAAACTGACTAAAAAGGAAATTCTGTAATAACTGACTAAGACAGAAATGCTATAATAAGGATAATTCCAAAAATTAAATTAAAAATGTTATTCTCTTTCCCTAGTTCTTTTGCACTTCGCTTAATGAAGCTTAATTCAATTATGCTAATAAGTGTCATTTTATTCAATGTATTTCTTTATATTTCTGGATAAGTGACTTAAGTCTGTTAAAGTATGAGAGCTTTTGCAACACAGTTGTTTCCTTTTCCTGTTTCCTATATTGATCTAAATAATCATGACTCAGCAACGCATTGCGCAAATAGTTAGGCCGTTACAAGAGATCTGCACTTTTTTCCCCTCCAGTTACAAGAACTCTGCGTTTTTATTTTTTATGTTAATCGCTTCACTGGAAGTTATGTCTATGCGAGCTGTAAAACAGTAATCTTGACTTGCGGAAAATATTCTTAAATTAATTAGCAAAAATTACTTTTTATATCTAGAGTGTAGAGAAATGGGGTTTGAATAATTAGACATATAGAAATGAAATTACAGTTTGAATAGAAAAACTATGCCATATGGCGTTTATAATTCGCAGATATTTTGCTGTAAATATGTAATCAAATAGAATTGAAAAATATTTTATCCTTTTGCTGTGGGCTGGGATGAATATATGCCCCATACCTTTCCTATATTAGATGAGAATTAAATTTAGTTCACGATGGAAATTTAAAATTTGCTTCTTAATGCAAAGCAGGAAATGGTAGACTCCATATTTTTTTTTCCTTGTTGTAATAGTTGACTAAATGGCTTCAAACATAAAAAGGTAGTCTTTATTACCTACGTGGAAAGTTTATGGATTCACAATTATTCCTAATCTAGAGACATTGTTAAAAATTTCCAAATAGTCCCCATAGCAAACCGTAAATAATATATGCTCATTTGAAGGAACAAAAAATTTAGCTAATGAAATCTTAGGATCTCAAGCCTATTATCAACGCAATATTTAGTTCATATTCCATTACAAGTTGAAAAAGCAGAAACATCCTATGTTAATGAATGCCCAACATTGGGTTACTGGTGTTTGAGATTCTTGACTTGCCAGTGATAAACATGTTTAATTCAAGGTAAGTAACGATTTTTTAACTTGCAAAAGCAAGAAAACATATTTTAATAACTCCTTTTAGTTAAATAAATTCAGATATTCCGTCGATAACTGAAAACATTTATTACAAGGTAAATTGCTCGTTTCTTGCATATGGAGATGTCTCACGCAGCCATGACGGTGTTCAATTTTACATAGGAATTGGAGATAATTGATACATTAAGACAAGCACCATGTTTGGATATGATTGCTTTAGATATCTCGTAATTGATCATCGCACGTCATTTAGAAAGTACCTGTGTATGATATATGATTATCCAATTCAATTCATATCTCTACTGAGAATTTACTTGGGCAATGCACCCATTCATATGCCTAGATCGATCTAACATTTATTTAATGACTGATGAACTGATAATGGGATTGACCATCCTGAAGCTTAGGCTTGAACTAAGTATAAAATGTATCATGACAAGTTGCCGTGCATGTCTATGAAAATAAGGAGCTGTGTTCTCAAGAAAGAATGAAAAATAGCAATTTATGCATTAAGAGGGCTAAATAATAGAAAAAATTTTAAAAATCAATAAATACCATGACAAACAGAATTTAATTCGTAAACATCAAAATAGTTAATAATACGAACTCGATCAGTTTCATTTTGGTGCTAAACCTATAGGTGTATTTGTAATTTACTTGAGGCCAAATATGATAGTACCTTAAATTAGATTCAAAATAATATATAAATCGTTTTAAATACTGACAAAAACTGTTTTAAATACTTCTAAAAATTACTCCAGAAACTATGGATGCATATAATATCTTTACAGACTTTTAAGTGACATTTTGTACTTGTGTTAAAAGCGTTCTGAGCATAATTGAAATAAAATGGAACCGGGTCTAAGAATTTCATTAATGCATAAAGTCATGCAAGTAAATACTAATACAAGAATAGGTTGTAGAGACATTAGGTATTTTTTGGGGGAGCAAACGAGATGAAAAATTATCAGTCGCCTTCGTCGGGAATGGAACCACGGACCTCTGAAAT